CCAAGGCATGTGATATTAAAACTGGCAAAAGCCAATGACAAACAAAAAATATTAAGCGCAGCAAGGCAGAAGAAAATAAACTCCAAGAGACCCCTATTAGGCTTTCAGTAGATTTCACTGCAGAAACCTTACAGGCTAGGAGAGAATATAATGATATATTCAAAATAATGAAAGACAAAATCTTTCAGCCAAGAATACTCTATCCAGCACAACTGTCTTTCAGATATGATAGAGAAATAAAACCTTTCCCAGATAAACAAATTGAGGGAGGTTGTGGCCACTAGACCTTCCCTACAGGAAATGATCAAGGACTCCTCCACCTGACAGAAAAAGGCAAAGGTCTACAAAGCTTTGAGCAAGGAAATAAACAGACAAAATCAGAAAACTGTAGCTCTCTTTCAGAACAGGGAAACAAATAATTATAACTTAAAAAATAAAAGGAAGGAAAGCATCAAAAGTAACTATAAAAACTTTGACTTAGTCACAAACTCACAACACAAAATAGAATAATTTGTAACAACAATAATTCATAAGGGGAAGAGGAAAGGGATGGAACCTACTTAGGCAAAGGGAGGTAAGAACCTATCAGAAAATGGCCTATCTCATCTACGAGATCTTTTATACAAACCTCAAGTTAACAACTAAACAAACAATCAAAGCAGAGCCATAATTCATGAAAAACAAGAGAACTGAGAAAACCTCCACAGAAAATCTTGATAATTAAATGGCAGTCATAAATCCAAAGGAAGAGAAATAATGGAGAGATAGAATAACTGGAAAACAAGAGATAAAACAACAGTATTGTACCCACTCTACAATCACTCTAAATGTAAATGGATTGAATGGATTGAATTCTCCAATCAAAATACAGAGTAGACAGAGAATGGATAGATTAAAAAATAAAGCCCAACAATATGCTACCTCTAGGAAACACATCTCAGCTCTAAAGACAAGGGCTCAGAGTGAAGGGATGGAAGATGATACTCCAAGCAAATGGAAAACAAAAGAAAGCAGCTGTTGAAATACTTGTGTCAGACAAAACAGACTTCAAGATAAAAAGGACAACAGAGACAATGAGGTGTCGTATATAATGATAAAGACACTTTCCACAAAGAGGACATAACACTTATGAGTAAAAGTGTACCTAACACAGGAGCACCAAATTATATAAAACAACTATTAACAAAGCGAAAGGGAGAAATTAACAACAACTCAGCAACAGTAGAGGACCTCAACACCCAACTTACATCAATGGATAGATCATCCAGACAGAAAATCAATAAGGAAATAGTGGGTTTAAATGAAACACTTGATCAGATGGACTTAATAGATATATAGAGAGAATTTCATTCAAAAGCAGCAAAACACACATTCTTCTCAAGCGCACTAGGAACATTCTCAAAGATACACCCTATATTGGGAAACAAGGCAAGCCTGAATAAATTTAAGAAGAGTGAAATCACATCAAACATCATTTCTGACCACAATGTTAAGAAACTAGAAGTCAACTACAAGAAAAAAGCAGGGAAAGTCACAAAGATGTGGAGACTAAACAACATGCTACTGAATAACAATAATATCAATGAAGAAATCAAAGGAGAAATTAAAAAATACCTGGAGACAATTGAAAATGAAAATACAACATACCAATTCTTATGGCATGCAGCAAAAGCAGTGATAAGAGTGAAATTCATAGCAATACAGGCCTACTTCAACAAACAAAAAGAATCTCAAATAAGTAATCTTAAACTACACCTAGCAGAAAGGGAAAAAAAGAACAAACAAAGCCCAAAGTCAGCAGAAGGAGGGAAATAATAAAAATTAGAGCAAAAATAAGTGAACTAGAGACTAAAAAAATAAAACGGTAGAATCAATGAAACTAAGAGCTGATTCTTTGAGAAGATAAGCAAAATTGGCAAACCCTTGGCTTGGCTCAACAGAAAAAAAGAGAGAAGGCTCAAACAAATAAAGTTGGAAATGAAAGAGGAGAAATTACAACAAATACCACAGAAATGTGAAGGATTATAAGAGAATACTATGAAAAACTGTATACCCACAAATTGGATAACCTAGTAGAAATGGATAAATTCTTAGACTAATACAGCCTCCCAAAACTGAATTAAGAAGAAACAGAGATCTGAAAAGACCAATCACAAGTAAAGAGATTGAAACAGTAATCAAAAACCTCCCAAAACACAAAAGTCCATTACAAGATGGCTTCTCCAGAGAATTCTACCAAACTATCTGTTGTAACTTCTCCTCTTTCATTTCCAACTTTATTTGTTTGAGCCTTCTCTCTTTTTTTCTGTTGAGCCAAGCCAAGGTAGAATTCTCTAGATATAAATCCCACTTGGTCATCGTGTCTGATCCTTTTAATGTATTTCTGTATTCATTTTGAAAAAACTTTGTTTTGGATTTTTGCATCTATGTTCATCAGGGATATTGGCCTGTAATTTCCTTCTATGTGCTGTACTTGTCTGGTTTTGGTATCAGGGTAATGCTTGCCTCATAGAAAGTGTGAAGAATGGTCCACAGTTTTCAATTTTTTGGAATAGTTTGAGGAGGATAAGAATTAAATCTTCTTTGAATGTTTGGTAGAATCAACATGCAAAAACCTGTTGCATTTCTATACACTAATATAGAACTAGCAGATAGAAAAGTCTAGAATGCAATCTCACTTACAATAGCAACAAAAAGAATAAAATATCTAGGAATAAATTTAACCAAAGAGAAGAGCTTTACACTGAAAACTACAAGACATTATTGAAAGAAATTGAAGAAGATAAAAAGAATTGGAAAGACATTCCATGCACAGGGACTGGAAGAATAAGCATAGTTAAAACATCCATATTACCTAGAGCAATCTAGAGATTCAAAACAATCCCAATAAAAATCTCAATGATATTCTTCATGGAAATAGCACAAAGAATCCTAAAATTTATATGGATCAACAAAAGACCTCAAATAGCCAAAGCAACCCTGAAAAATAAGAACAAAGCTGAAGGCCACACAATACCTGACTTCAAAATATACTACAAAGCTATAGTAATCAAAACAGTGTGGTACTTTCAAAAGAAAAAAAACAGATACACAGATCAACGGAACAGAATTAAAAACCCAGAAATAAAACCACACAACTTTGGGACAGTTAATCTTCAACAAAGAAGCCAAGAACATAAAATGTAGCAGCAAAAGACTCTTTGATAAATGGTGTTGGGAAAACCGGACAGCCTCATGCAAAAGAATGAAAGTAGTCCATTATCTTGACCATACACAAAAATTAACTCAAAATGGATTAAAGATTTGAATGTAAGACCTGAAACCATAAAACTCAAAGAACAAAATAAGGACAGTACAGTCTTTGACATCAGTCATAGCAGCATCTTTCTATTACCATTTTTACCAAGACAAGGGAAACAAAAGAGAAAATAAACAAGTGGAACTACAACAGACTAAAGCTTCTGAAGGTCAAAGGAAACCATGAACAAAATGAAAAGACAACTCACCAGCTTGGAGAAAATATTTGCAAATCATACATCCAACAAGGGGTTAATATCCTAAATATATAAAGAACACACACAACTCAACAACAACAACAGCAAAACAGAAAACTCGGTCAAAAACTGGTCAGAGGATATGAACATTTTTCCAAAGTAGATATACAGATGGCCAACAGACGTGAAAAGATATTCAACATCATTAATTATTAGGGCAACACAAATCAAAACTACAATGAGATATCACCTTACACCTGTCAAAATGGCTATAATTAACCAGACAAAAAATAACAAGAGTTGGAGAGGATGTGGAGTAAAGGGAACCCTCACACATTGCTGGTAGGAATGAAAACTGGTGCAGCCACTATGGAAAACAGCATGGAGATTTCTCAAAAAATTAAAAATTTAAATACTATATAATCCACCTGTCCCATTACTGGGTATTTATCCAAAGAACTTGAAATCAAGTATCCAAAGTGATCTATGCACCCCTATGTTCATTGCAGCATTTCTCCCAATAGCCAAGACATGGAAGCAACCCAAGTTCCCGTCAACAGATTAGCAGATAATGAAGATGTGGTATATGTATATTCAATGGAATATTACTCAGCCATAAAAAAGACGAAATCATTCCCTTTGCCACAACATGGATGGATCTTGAGCATATGGTATTAAGCAAAATAAGCCAGACAGAGAAAGACAAACACTGCATGATCTCACTCAAATGTAGCAGATAAACAAACACATGGACAAAGAGAACATATTAGTGGTTACCAGAGAGTAAGGGGTTGGAGGAGGGCAAAAAGGGTAAAGGGGTACATATATATGGTAACAGAAAAAAATTAAAATATTGGTGGTGAGCACGATACAGGCTATACAGAAACTGGTAAGTAGAAATGTACACCTGAAATTTCACAATGTTATAAACCAATATGACCTCAATAAAATAATTAAATATATATAAATAAAAGATTGGAAAGTTATATCACACAAAATGTAAGTATAAGGAACCTGGAATGGCTATATTTCTATGAGAAAATACAAACTTGAAATCAAAGAGCATTACTAAGATAAAGAGGCCAAGTTCATAATGATAGAATGATCAGGATTCTGAACACCAACACAAAGAAGATTCTCAAATATATTATGTAAAAAAACAAATAAACCTGAGAAATAAATGCTTATATGAGCTTAGCACTGATTCCCTCCCATATCTGCATTTCAAGGAATTGAAAATTACTGTCAGTTCCTGGTATGATTTAAACTGGAACATAATATCAGTTGTTAAAAGGTAATAATTGTACCATATTCCACTTTGCTATAATTAGAAACAAAGGATTTTATTCATTAACTATTTTAATCTAATTTTACTCATTAGTTATATAATCTGTACTAAACAAGAAAAAAACTTGCTTTCTGTTCTTTCCACATAAAAAATCATAAAGCAGCTCACTTTTGTATCTCGCAAATTCCATTTTCTGAAAATGGCTTAAGACTGGAACAGGCTCATTTTAGTTTATTTCAAGATCATGTACAAAGTCCAATGCTAATTTCACAGAGTCACTGAGGGCAAGTGCATCCAGACAGTAAATCTTTAAACAAATTTCATTGTCAAACAGCTAGAAGTATCTCTCGTATGCACTTTTCTCTGTGACTTTCTTAAAAAAGTAATACCTCCTGATTCAAAAGGACTGGGGAAACTGCTTCCACTGCACTGCTGCCCTGGTGAGGTGGGTGAGGCCCATTGATGAGAAACTGGTGTGAGATCACACAGACTTGATGTGAATTAATGAAAGGAAACTTTTCCTCCCTTTAAACTTATTGACATAAAGTCATTGTGTCTCCTCTTGAGGATCAGCTCTTCATACTCAATGGCCTTTGAGGAGCTCCTGGATCAGGTTGGTGGCCTGGGGAAATTCCAGATCCTTCAGATGGTTTTAGTTCTTTCTTCTCTCATGATACTAGTCTCTCATACGTTATTGGAGAATTTCACTGCAGCCATTCCTGGTCATCGCTGCTGGGTCCACATCCTTGATAATGACACTGTCTTTAATAATGACACTGGGGTCCTCAGCCGTGAAGTCCTCCTGAGAATCTCCATCCCACTGGACTCAAACTTGAAGCCAGAGAAATGTCGTCGCTTCCTCCTCCCTGAGTGGCAGCTTCTTCATCGGAATGGGACCTTCCCCAACATGACCGACCCAGTCACGGAGCCCTGTTTGGATGGCTGGGTGTATGACCGAAGCTCCTTTTCCTCCACCATTGTGACGGAGGTAAGAAGTCCCATCTACCTCTTGTGAGTACATGGTGTGGGTGTTAAGAATAACATACAATAAATGTAGTTCAAGTCTTCAGTTACCGTGTAGATATACTGTAGTTGGCTTTCTTTCAGCAAATAGTGGTTGCTTATCTTTTTAACTGCCAAGCACTTATACTGAATTTGAGGCCAGTGAAACCGACCAATTAGACATGAATTCTACTATCACAGAGCTTGAACTCTAGTGTGAAGACATTAGACAAGTAAGTACTTGACACAATGTGTGAAAAATTATCCTTCCTTGGTCTCTTGTTCTCCGTCTAGTTTCAAATTGGAAATATCTGTATTGATTTTTTAAATTCTCCATGCCCCAGCTGCTTGTCAGAGAAGCAAATCAGAGTGTGTTTCAGTCTAGGTTGAAATTGGGTCATCAGTATTTTTAGAAAAATCTCCTCAATGTTTTCGATGTGTGGCAAAGAATGAGAACCACTAAGGTATGGAGTGCGAAGTGAGTATAAAGATTGGCCCTTGTATAAACTAGAAGAGTTAGTTGAGGATTTCTAGAGAAGACCATGCTTATGCTGAGACTTGAATTATACAGACTAGTAAATATAGTAAAGGCAGGCTGGAGAGTGCATCCACTGAGGTCTGTTGGAGCCAGTAAACATTGAGGGATTAATAGCTGCTGTGAAGCTCCTCTGTGCTGGTTTCCTTCTCTTCCAGTGGGACCTAGTATGTGACTATCAGTCACAGAAAGCCGTGGTTCAGTTCCTATTCATGGCTGGCATGCTGGTGGGAATGCTCGTATGTGGCCCTCTCTCAGACAGGTGAGTGTCTCCAGATCGCTGCTACCCTTTTCATCAACTTATGATTACATCTTTCCTTAAGAAGTCTTTACTGAGTTCCAGTATGAAAATTACATTGTTGCGGGTAGCCTTGGTTTCCAGGGAGCTAGAGATGGAAATGTAGAATTAGAGTCAGTCTAATGAATGCCATTTTGTTGCCACAGAGCTCTCTGTGCAGGACACAGAAATGACATCTATATAAGACCTGGGCACATTTCAGAACGGTGTTTCAAGAAGAGATACAATAATACTTCATTTAGAAAGATAAGAAGGAGTAAACTATGGAAAGGGAGAAGGTGCTTCAAGACAGGGGGTTCAGCTTTTTAAGACACAGATATGGAGAACAGCATTGTAGGCCTTTACCAGGGCTTCTATGTGAAGTGCCTCCTGGACTCAGTGAGCGAAATGCTTGTGGGTTCCCAGATTGGTGGTCAGGTCATGATTGCCCCACTTTAATGAGTAGGCATTTCTATAAAACCCAGATGCATAGTGAAATGGCACTGAAGATGTATTAAGAAATAATTATGGGGGCTATCCTGGTGGTATAGTGGTTAAGTTTCAACAATACACTTCGGCAGTGGCAGCGGCGTCCCAGGGTTCACAGTTTTGCATCCTGAGTGTGGACTTACACACCACCCATCAAGCCATGCTGAAGCCATGCATGAAGAGAGAGACTGAAAGAGATGTTAGCTCAGCGAATCTTCCTCAAGCAAAAAAGAAAGACTTGGGGTTTTAATCTGGATGTTTGATCTGGTAAGAAAAAAAAGGCTTGTTAGAGGTAATTTTTGCAACCATATAAGGTAATTAATCTAAAGACCTCAGGTGTCATGATTCATGGTGTGAGAAGTTTGGGGTATCCTGTACCTGGTAGTGCTCATCCTGACGTACACAGGCAGCCATGGCAGTCACACACTCAGGTCTCCCCTAGAGGAAATGCAAAACATAAAGTAGTCCTTATCCTATATGAGCCTAAGGTCATTGAATCTTTCTGCTGAAAATTGTGAACCCTGAGTGCATCACACTAAATGTAATTCATAAAAGATTTCAGAGTCATATTGTTTATATCAACCAATCTTCTGATCAAGCCTTTTATGATGACTCACAATAAAATGCTAATTTTTCCGTTTAGATGGGCAAAAGGTAGTAGATGTGTTTGTGTGTCTTCTGTGTGGAGAAGAGGGGGTATAACAGGAAGTGAGAGTAGAAAATTTGGTGAAGAATGGGGAGCCTTATAGCTAAGCTGTATATTTTGAAGTAAACATAGGTAAAAAACTTCTGGACATTGGCCTTAGCACCAAAAGCACAGGTAATGAAAACAGAAATAGATAAATGGATTATGTCAAATGAAAAAGCTTCCAGTAAAAAATGCAAAGGAAGCCTACAGAATGGGTGAAAATATTTGAAAACCATATATCTGATAAAGGGTTAATATCCAAAATATAGGCAACTACTACAATCAATAACCAAAACATAAATCACCTAATTGAAAAATGGGCAAAGGAACTCAATAGATATTTCTACAAAGAAGACATGGAAATAGCCAACAGGCATATGAAAAGGTGCTTACATCACTAATCAGTAGGAAAAGGCAAATCAAAATCACAATGAGATATAACCTCACACCAGTTCAGATGGCTATTATAGCCAAACAATTGTTGCTTTTCCGCTATGTTTTCTTTTAGGCATTTTACAGTTTCAGGTCTAATGTTTGCATCTTTAGTCCATTTAGAGTTAATTTTTGCCAGCAGTGTAGGATAAGGGTCAAATTTCATTCTTCTGCATGTGATTATCCAGTTTCCCCAGCACCATTATTGAAGAGACTATCCTGTCTCCATTTAGTATTATTGGCTCACTTACCAAATATTAGTTGACCATATGTGAAGCTTAATTTCTGGGATCTTAATTCTGTTTCTACTGGTCAATGTGTCTATTTTTATGCCAATATCATACTGTTTTGATTACCACAGCTTTGTAGTTTAGTTTGAAATTGGAAAATATGACACTTCTAGCCTGGTTCTTCTTTGTCTGGGTTGCTTTACCTATTCGGGATCATTTGGAATTCCGTATAAATTATAGGATACTTTGTTCTACTTCCATGAAAAATTCCATTGGAATTTTGATAGAGATTGCATTGAATCAAAGGATGGCTTTGGATGGTATGGACATTTTAACAATATTAATTTTTCTGATCCATGAACATGGGTTGTCTGTCCATTTATTTGTATCTTCTTCAATTTCCTTCATCAATGTCTTACAGTTTCCAGTGTCCAGAACTTTCACCTTAATGGTTAAATTTATACCTAAGTACTTTAGTGTTTTTCATGCTATTGTGAACAAGATTGTTCCCTTTATTATTATTTTTTCAGATGTTTCATTGTTAGTCTATAGAAATGCAGTAGGTTTCCGTATGTTTATTTTATCCTGCAACTTTACAAATTTGTAGATTAGCTCTAACAGTTCTTGGTTGAGTCTTTAGGATTTTCTACATATGAGATCATATCATCTGCTAAGATAATTTAATTCTTTCTTTCCAATTTGGATGCCTTTATTTCTTTTTCTTGCCTGATTGCCCTGGCTAGGACTTTCAGTACTATGTTGAATAGGAGTAGTGTGAGTGGCCACCCTTCTATTTTTCTGAACTTGGAGAAAACTCTTTCCACCTTTCACCATTGAATATGACATTAGCTGTGAGCTTGTCATATATGGCCTTTATTATGTTGAGGTACATTCCTTTTATACATAATTAGTTAGGCATTTTTATCAAGAAAGAATTTTTTTTAATCAAAAGGCTTTTTCTATATCTATTGAGATGATCATATGATGGTTATCTTTCATTCTATTAATGTGTCGTATCACATTTATTAATTTGCATATGTTGAATGATCCTTGTGTCCTAGAGATAAATCCCTCTTGATCATGGTGTATGATCATTTTGATGTACTGTGGAATTCAGTTTGTTAATATTTGTTGAAAAGGTTTGCTTCTATATTCATCAGCGATGTTGGTCTGTAGTTTTCTTGTAGTCTCCTTATCTGATTTTGGTATCATGGAAAGAGTGGCCTTCTAAAATGAGTTTCTTAGTATTTCTTCCTCTTCAATTTTTTGAAAATATTTAAGGATTAGTGTTAATTCTTCTTAAAATGTTTGGTGGAATTTACCCATGAAATCGTCTGGTACTGGGTTGTTTTTTGTTGGGAGGTTGTTGATTACTGATTAAATCTCCTTAAGCATTATTGGTCTATTCAGATTTTCTATTTCATTATGAGTTAGTCTCATAGGTTATGTGTTTCTAGGAATTTATCCATTTCTTCTATGTTCTCCACTTCGTTGCATGTAAATGTTCATAGTAGTCTCTTATGATTCTTTGTATTTCTGTGGTATCAGTTGAAATGTCTCCTCTTTCATTTTTGATGTTTTTATTTGTCTTCTCTCCTGTTTTCTTAGTCTAGCTGTAGTCTGTCAATTTTGTTTATCTTTTTTCAAAAAATCATCTTTTCTACTGTTTTTATGGTCTCTATTTCATTTATTTCTGCTCTGGTCTTTGTTATTTCCTTCCTTCTGCTAACTTTGGGCTTAGTTTATTCCTCTTTTCTAGTTCCTTGAGGTGTAAACTTATGTTGTTTATTTGAGATCTTTCTTTTTTCTTTACATAAGCATTTATTACTATAAATTTCCATCTTAAAGCTGCTTTTGTGGCATTTCATAGGTTTAGGTATGTTATGTTGCCATTTTCATTTGTTTCAAGATATTTTTTGATTTCTCATTTGATTTCTTCTTTGACTCAATTTTTTTCAATTATTTAATTTCCTCATATTGTGGATTTTCTAGCTTGCCTCCTGTATTGATTTCTAGTTTTATCCCATTGTGGTTGCAAAAGATACTTGATATAATTTCAATCTTCTTAAATTTGCTAAATTTTTTGTGACCTAACATATGCTCTGTTTTGAGGAATGTTCCATGTGCACTTGAGAAGAATGTGTATCCTGCTGTTGTTTGATGGAATGTTCTGTGTATCTGTTAGGGGAATTTGCTCTAAAGTACACTGTTCTTGTTGTTCATTTGTTATAAAGTTCCAATTTCCTTCTTGATTTGCAGTCTGGAAGATCTATCCACTGTTGGAAATGGATAATAAAGTCCCCTACAGTTATTGTATTTTTGTCTCTATTTTTCTTAAGATATGTTAGTATTTGCTTAATAAATTTAGATGTTCTGATGTTAGCTGCATATTTATTTATTATTTATATGTCTTCTCAATGAATTGACCCCTTTATCGTTATGTGATGAGCTTCTTCATCTTTTGTTACCATTTTTGGCATAAAGTCTACTCGTCTGATATAAGTATAGCTACCTCTGCTCTCTTTTCATTTCCCTTTGTGTAAAATATGTTCTTCCATCCCTTCATTTTGGCCTCTGTGTCCTTAAGGCTGAAGTGAGCCTCTTGTAGGCAGATTACGGCTCAGTCTTTTTTTAATCCATTCAGCTACTCTATGTCTTTTGATTAGAGAATTCAATTCGTTTGTATTTAGAGTAATTATTGGTAGGCCAGGCTGACTAATTCCATCTTATTAATTGCTTTCTGGCTGTTTTGTATTTCCCTTGTTCCTTCCTTCCTCTATTGCTGTCTTCCTTTGTGAGTTGATAATATTCCTTAAAGAAATACTTTGGTTCCCTTCTCCTTCTTTGTGAATCTAGTATAGCTTTTTGCTTTGTGGCTACTATGAGGCTTACATAAGACATCTCAAAGACGTAGCAGTTTATTTATACTGATAAGAACTTAAGTTCATTCACATACAAAAACTCTATCCTTTTACTCTCTCTTTTTTATGTTTTTGTTATGTTAAGTGCTTCTTACTAAAATTAAAAAAAGAGTAGGAGGAACCTTTGCTGGTAATATGTATGGCATGCTTTCTGGTGACAATTTCACAGGTGTATACTTTTTTCTAAACTCATCAAATTGTGTACATTGATTATATACAGGTTTT